TTCACGATTATGGAAACAAATTAATAATTCTACAAAACCAGTAATGATTCATGGATCCAAGAAGGTAAGTCACCAAAGGAAGATGAAAATAATCATATGCCAAAGAAAAAAGGATACAAGTTTAGAGAGTAGCCGCAGAGTCTCCAAATCTTCCAATATGTTGCTCTGCTTGTTTGTAACAAGTACCAAGAACAAAGCTTCTATAGGCTGGTAAACATAGCGGACATTTTCTGTCTCAACATAAGTATGTTGTTTGCCAGTGCCTACCAACTTAGGGAAAGCCGCAAGAAGACCCTCAATTCTTATACGAGACATATCCACAAATTGTCTAGAAACAAGCACTGCACAATAAAAGACAAAAATCAATTAAAGACTAACTGTAACAACTCCAATGATATCACCATTTTAACAATTTATTTACTAGCAAGTCAGATTAAAGAGAAAGCAAGTGAACGGATCACTGACAGCTCCTGATATAGTTAAAAATTAAGTAGGCTTTACTGTGTAGCTAAAGTATAAGAATGCAAATGTTATAACAACTCAGCCAAAAGCAAAAGAAATGGATCACTGGCAGCTCCTGCTACAGATTGAAACTATATCCGTGAAAACGTCTTCTAAACATTAAGCAGGATCTACTGACTACATAATCAAGTAATATGAATGCACATGTTATAACAGCTCAGCCAAAAGTACAACCATTTTAAAACAGAAGATAAAAGCCTGAATACCCATCATTCCTGCAACATCCCAACCTAGCTCCTCTAAGGAGAGATCCAAAGAAACCCGTTGTCTCAATCCATAACCAAGATGGTACTAAAGCCTAGTGAATCACAATGAAACAAAAAGACCACTGCTAACGTCTGGTTTAATTTACAGCACTTGGAGACACAACTTAGACCACTTTATGGGTGCATCAAATCCCCAATTCAATCAGTGTCATTCTTAGATTTAATCAATCCACATTTGTTAGAGTTCCTCATGTGAACTAGGAATAGACAAAAAAAAAGGGCAAGAATTGTTCTTTTGAAGCACCAGCCATTCACAGGAGAATTAAAAAAAACTGTACAGAACTCACCTTTCCCAGACTTGCTTATAATGGAAGCGGCAAGCACAACCTGAATTACAAATAGAGGGGGGAAATGAGAAGATAAATTCCAAGAAAGCAAAAATTTATTAGGCCAACACTCTTAAGTTGTTTATACATTTTAATGATGCAATGTATTACAAAATTAGTCCCAGAAATTAAACTCATATATAAGTTTCAGCATCTTCAGTTGTATTTCCAGAATTGATTTTCACGTTGAGTGGGTCAAATGTATGCACAATACTAATATCAATTACCAAAGATGTACTATCATTATCACACTAAGATCATCACTCTAAAAAATTAATTGGAAAACTGAGAAGAAAAGGTGAATATATTACCATCTTGATTAACTAGGCGGTTATCAACAGCCACCAACTCAAAGGCAGCAAAAAAGATTGCAGGGCACACCTTAAATATGAAAATCTCATGAATGTCAGAAAATTAAGAAATAAAATAATCACAAGCAACCAAAATTAACCACAAGTATGAAACAGTACGAAACAAAGTATCGTGATCTCCCACAATTTTTGAACATGTGCATGAGTGCAAACAGAACTCAGCACCAAATAAGACACTAATTATGTGAACATTCGGAATCAGTAGCTCAACTATACGAATCAAAGGCTCGAATCCCAACTAGGTTGCATGGGATCTAGTCCCTGCAGCATCGAATTATTTATAAACAACAGAATTGAGAAGCAATTTTCCCACAACAAACTGAACTTTTCCAAAATCCAACTAGTCTAAAGCTTTGTTAATCCGATCCAACAAATTAGACCTCCACACATTTCGCAACGTTTCACAGCTCCTAAACCTTGACGAAGCGAGACCATCAGATGGCATAGCAAAATTAAGGAAGTCTTGAAAGAAAATTCACAATTGAAATTGTATCTCAGCAAATCACGCAATGTAAAAGATGCAAGAAAAAATCAAAGTAAAAGATCAACCTAAGATCTACACCCTAATCACCATAATCTCAAGCGACGCAGTAGAAACCCTAAACTTCCCACAGCGATTGCTCGCCGATAAAACGCAAGAAAAATGAAGAGATGGAAAGCATTTGAAAACCATAGATCTGGAGTGCAAAGCAATTAATGTAAACAAAATACACCAAAATACAAAATCAAGGTAGTGAGATCTAACCTCTCACCGGCGGAGAAGAAGAAGACGGGGAGGAGAAGGAGGAGGAGAAAGTGAGGAAGATGATTCTGCAATGCAGGCAGTAGCAGAGAAATATAAGTTCGAATCCCGGCCAATCAGATTAAACATCGTGGCAAATGGCAACAAACGTTTTAATTTACTTTGGATTTAAGTTTTCTTTTGGGTCAATAGAGCCCAAGCCCAAAAATGAAAAGCCCAAAGGCAACATCACTCTTATTTCTCCCTTATGCATGTATGTACACGCTATGCACATATTTTCTATTGTGACCATCTGATTGATGTGGACGGTGGATATCAATGGAGTTACATTTGAAATCGAAATACACCATGTCTGAAGCTATGTGATGACGTCCTGAGCTAAACACAGCATAATTAAATAAAAATAAAACATTGATAACGGTTTTAACTCGTAACAGAAATGCATCAAAACACAATGGCGGAGCCAGAGTTCTTTGTGAGAGAGGGCCCTTCACATATGCATTAAGGAAAAAATATTGAACTCATAACATAAGCAATTGAAGTAATCTTCACAAAACTGAAAGACTCATTAAATTTAATACAGAGAGAAGCAAACGAAGTGTATAACACAAATAAGTGGAAGGTAGAAAGCAGGGTAACCAATAAAAAAAATTGAAATTATAGGAAGAAAATATAAATAAATTTGGTTTGAATCGTGTGACAAAAAAAAGGATGGCAAAGGGGAGAGTTGCAAATAATAGTTGATTAGGTTATTTTAGAAATAATATTAAAGTCGATTTCAAAACCCAATACCTGAGTTTCACTAAATCACAAAGACAAAACAAACAAAATTTTTAAAAAAAATATAACGACATCGTTCGAGTCAACTTCTTAATGAGGATTCAACTTCTTTAGGAGTACAATTCATCTGCTTTCTTATTGACTCCGGTTCTACCATTCTAGGCTGAAGGCCAAAAATTTCTTACACTATAAAACCACTCTGGTTCCTTATTGACTCGGTCCATAAAACACACGATAATTACCAAATGGGATTTTATAGAATAAAACTATGAGCGTGGTTAGTTGAGATCGAACACTCACACCAAAATACAAAGACATAATTACTTTCCTTGGTCGATCATCCATTGAAAAACTCGACTAAGCACACAAGCGTGGAAATTCAAGAAAAGAGCAAGTTGCAACCAATAAGCGAGTAGTGTACCTTTCATTACTTTGGAAAAGTGAGTTGCAGATTTTGCTGGAATACAGAAGAAAAGATAATCGTATGTTTTAGTCAAAGCTTCCCGAGAAAATTCAAGAGGATTGACACCTCAACTTTGAGACCCATATGACACGTGTTAGCATTTCATGGCACTTATGACATGGCAAACCTACGTGTATTGGAACCTTTAGAATAACAACCCCACCCACATACATTTCTTTTATTTTCCCACAAGTACACATTTTTCCGACGTAATTCTAAAAGGGCAAGTAAATTCCATGCATGCAATTAACCGTGTATATTTTTGTAGCTTGTCCCCCTTGCAAACTTCAGCAAATTTTGCGGCAATTTAAAGTTGATTCGTAAATGAAAACGAAATAACAAATGAAAGCGAATTGACACAGACAAGTCAATATGAAGTAACACCAGCAATTTAATATTGATATGGAAATTAATATTCAACTGTGAGTTGTGAGAGAGTTATGAAGAGTTTGAGAGTCTCTATAGCATTTTGCTTAATCTTTATACAGGAATGCTAAAGAGACTCTCCATGAACTCTCCGCTACCTCTTGTTATTAGCAAAATTCTGGAATCAACATTGTAAAACATTGTGCAAAAAAAAATAAAGACGCGAAGAGTCCCACTTTAAAAAAGTTCATTTAGCATTTCTCATCAAATTGAAATTCTTCAACGTAATAGTTATGCAAAGAGAGATAAAAAAGGTTAATATTTTTGCAAGCAGCCCCTCGTATAGGTTACAAATGCGTGATGCTTCTAAACTATTCCTTAACCAATATATAGAGAACGAAAAAAAGTGAAGAGTTGTAATTGATTCTTCGCTTAAATTCTTTTAAACTTCACTTAGTTGGACCACGCAAACATTGTGTATGTGATGCTCTTCCATCATTTTTCAACTAATTTTTACCATTTTAAATTCTTTAGTATTTAATTGTCTATCTTCAAATTTTTATCATTTTAAATAGCAAAAATGCTAATGAGCTTTTCTCAATAAAAAAAAAATCAAGTATTTATGAATGCTTTATCACCTCATAATTTTAACATAATATTTTATAATATTAATATAAAAATTAAGATTAAATTATGACGTGACAGAGAATTCAACGAAGAACTTTACTTTATGAGAGTAGCCGTACCATTTGTCTTTAATTAGACCTTGTGTCTGTCATGCTTCTGGATTATTCTTTCTAGTAATTAACCACTTTGGTATAACCATCTTTGTTATATCTCTTAGTAACTAACCCCGCATGTGAATCTTAACCCAGCAAATATGGAAAATAAATAAATAGGCCTTCTGGCATCTTCTACTCAACGGTCCAGAGTCCCTCTCCAGAACTTTCCCAAAACAACCACTCACCGTAGGATCCATCCAGATGGACACGTGTATGGCATCAACCTCATAACCACATTTTACTGAATTTTCCACAAATTTCGCTCAAATTTCATTTCCTTGATTCTCACCCTTATTTTAACCCACCACCACCCCCAACACCGAACCACCAACAAGAAGACAGATTCACGACGACGTCCTAATCTCCGCGTTCCTCTCTCTCTCTCTCTCTCTCTCTCTCTCTCTGTGCATTCAGCTAGTTTTTGTCTTTATATTTCCAAGGGTCAAGGCCTTCCTCTGTAAAAACCCTGGTTCCCTTCTCCCTTGGACACGTAATTTCTCATGGCTCCCGAACTCGTCCCCACCAACGTCCCGAAATCGGGTTTCACCACTCCCGTCACCATGCCTAGTCGGGCGTACGTGACCTTCTTGGCCGGAAACGGCGACTACGTGAAGGGCGTCGTCGGGTTGGCCAAGGGTTTGAGGAAGGTAAAAACGGCGTACCCGTTGGTCGTTGCAGTCTTGCCCGACGTCCCGGAGGATCACCGTCGCATTCTTGAATCTCAGGGTTGCATAGTCCGTGAGATCGAACCCGTTTACCCGCCCGAGAACCAGACCCAGTTCGCCATGGCCTATTACGTCATCAACTACTCGAAGCTGCGCATTTGGGAGGTACGTTCTTCTCGCTTTGCTTACGTGGAGAAAATTTTGATTGTGATGGAAGACGACTGCTACATCACATCACGTATTTTTATATGATTAGCGAGAAATTTTATTTTTTAAATTATTAATTTTTAATACATAAATCTTATCATTTATACAGTGAAATAGGTGTATCATTTTATGTGTCGATTATATTGAAAAATCTTTTCCGTTACCTTTGTTACGCGTTCTTTTTGTTACACGTGGAATTTGGGTCTTACCCGTGGCAGTCTATGTTGGAAGTCAATAGAACCTTTATTTCTTGTTTTTCCTGGGGAAGCTGTTCGAATCAAACTTATTGTGGTAGAAGATTGTAAATTTTAATTGCTGAACTTTTTGATTAATTTGCAGTTTGTGGAGTACGAGAAAATGATATACTTGGATGGGGACATTGAGGTGTACGACAATATAGACCACCTCTTTGACTTGCCAGATGGACATTTCTACGCAGTCATGGACTGTTTCTGTGAGAAAACCTGGAGCCACACGCCGCAATACCAAATCGGGTACTGCCAGCAGTGCCCGGAGAAGGTCCAGTGGCCCACATCGGAGCTGGGCCCGCCTCCGTCGCTGTACTTCAACGCGGGCATGTTCGTGTTCGAACCCGGCCTCGAGACCTACCATGACCTGCTGAGAACTCTCAGAGTGACCCCTCCGACCCCGTTTGCAGAACAGGACTTCTTAAACATGTATTTCCGGAAAATATACAAGCCAATTCCTTTGGTATACAATTTGGTCCTCGCCATGCTTTGGCGTCACCCGGAGAATGTGGAGCTAGACAAAGTCAAAGTCGTCCATTATTGTGCAGCAGTAAGTATTACTTAAATTTTAATTAATAATTAACATATATAGACAGATCACATTTTCTTTAGGGTTTGATTAATATACGCTGATTGTTACAGGGATCGAAGCCGTGGAGGTATACAGGGAAGGAGGAGAACATGCAGAGGGAGGACATCAAGATGCTGGTGAAGAAATGGTGGGACATATACAACGACGAGTCGTTGGATTACAGGAAGGCGGCGGGAGGAGCAGGGGCAGGAGGAGTTGTGGCTCCAGAAGCAGCTTCAGGTGGTGAAGGGGTGAACATGCAGCCGTTCATTGACGCTCTGTCCGGAGCTGCGGTCCAGTACGTGACAGCGCCGTCAGCGGCCTAGGCGATTTAGAGCATTCATTCATCTACGGGGTAGACAAGAGAGAGTCGAAGTACTCAGATGAATGAAATTCCGATGCTTGTTGGAGTGCATCGGGGGAAGGGGGAACGAGTTAAGCTTTTGATTTTTTATTTGTATTTTCTTTTGGTTTGGTAGATGAACCTGCTTAAATGACAAGGTTTGACGTGTGTTGGTGGTGTAATATGTTGTATGAAAGAGAGAAAAAAACGCCATTTATGTAATCATCCTCTTATGGAGAGGGAGCAAATGGTGGATTGATGAAAAATATATGTTTATTAGTAGTACTAATCAATTTGTTCTGTTCTTGTCTGCACTTGGTGGCCATGGTAATTAACAGGCTTATTAAGAAATCAACACAATTGCCTTTTTTGTTATCTCATTTTAGTAGTGATTCAAACCAGGATAAATGTTGGAAGTATGGCAATGTAAGTAAGAGAAAATCAAACGCCTTTCGGGCTTTGTAGGCAACTAAGGTCGAACAATTTTGATGTGATTAGTAGCGAGCAATTGGTCGAGGACTCTAATATCATTTCTCTGTAGCAAAGCTCCGTTAAATCGTGTGTATTGGGTTTGTATATGTGTGCTACTTGCTTTTCTCTTGACTGCGGATATTCAGAGTGTTATGGTTTGAGGAGTCGGAAGTCATTCACCGGGGGCGGAGTCAAAAGTGGATCAGAATGCTGCCGGTACTACCTCGACAATTTTTTAATATGAGTTAAAATTTCGATTTTCAAAGGTTTTTCAAGGGATTAGGGTTCCAACCCGAGGGAGAGTGACGAAGTAGGCGAGAGAGTTAGTTCTCCTAGAGTTTGGTCTTTTTCATATGGTACTGGTGGTTGTTGACAAGCTTGAATTTTGCTTCCATCTATGTCGTTAGCCATTTTTATTAGGATGTTTTCTTTGTCAATTAACAAGGCCTTGAATTAATGGAGTGAATTGAAAAGTCAACACCATCATCATCGAGCAAACAAATATTAGAATCAGATCAAAAATCTAGAGAAGCAAAGTAGTGGTTGAAACGGTAACCAGACAATTGATGAGAGAGGGATTTGCAAGCGTGTTGTAGAGTTGGCGGTGTTGCAATGTTTTGTTTTTTTCAACATTTCTGAAAGGTCGTTTCTAACCCGAAATCTCAACTCGAACATTATAATTCTTGATTTACTACATGAAGACCGTAACTCTTAATAAGTTAGTGCAGGACATTTTTTTTCTTTTGTCTACGTTGAAATCCTCGTAAGATTCTTTATCGAGGATTATCCTCTTTTATTTGTGTATCATACTTTTTACTTATAAAAAACCTATTTATTCTCTTAATATCGATAAAGAGTGAATCTTCTTGAACAACTGTGCCAGGAACATCTTGCCAAATTCTTCAAATGCTTAAATTTGAAAGATTTAGTTTTTGTAAAAGGTAATATTAGGGATATCACAATTTTAAATCAAATTTTGTAAATTAAATGATGTGGTTGTTGATGATTGGATTATTAATTAAACATCGATTAATTTGCTTATTTCCTATTGATGACGTATCATTTGGTTTGTAAATTTGATCTCTTAGCATTATTTATTACGGACGGTAAATAGCTTAGCGCTGCATCTACCACCATTGCCATGACCATTGATGGCGTACGAGGCGTTTGGGAAACATTCTCAGCTATGTCAACTGGTATCGACATCGATAAGCAACGCATTCAAGTATATTATCCGCATCTCTTTCACCTAAGCCTCATGATCCACAAATTCAGGCATTTGAAATTTAATCTAACGGCTATAAACAGAGAGCATCATTAAAAGTTATAATAACTTTAGCCGTTGGATCAAATTTCAAGGGTCTGGATTTGTGGCTCATGAGGATTAGATGGAAGGAATCCTCTCATGATCCCTTTCCATTATAAAAGAATGTGTTATCCACACACTTACAGACCCTCATAATGCATCCCGGACCCGGGGCGTTATCCGATACGCGTGCCACCCAAATGATCTTATTACGAACGATATTACTGCTTAAGCTACACTGACTGAGAGAGGGATTATAGTATTGGATTATGACGAGGTTACGGTTCAATCACTCGAGCCGTTCTAATGCAAGGAAAGAATAAACATTTGGGCACAGCCCCTACATAAATTATCATAGTCAGGGATTTTGGATCCTGTTTATAACTTTAAATCAGAAGATAATTTAAGAGGGTAAACACCACTTCCCAAATGCATTCTGATAAACAGCTACGACATGAATTTTGAGTAAGCGAGAGATAACGAGGGGAGGATCATCCTCCACTTCCATAATCTCCGTCAAAGTAAATATAAACAAATCGATAACAGCTATTTCATTTCACAAAACAAAGCTATTATGTTAATACCGTTCGAAAAATTGAGAGAATTATTCTTAACTACATGTAAAAAAGGCACTGTTTGCAAAAGAAAACACAAATATGGTAAAAACAGGAACTTAAGAGCGGAGCAAATGCAGAACACCAGGACCCATAAATGTCAACTTGATAGTACAGAAGAATGGACGCTACACAGAATTCAAGTCAAACCATCTATGCCTGCAAAATGTAATATCAGAAAACCAAAGTCAGAAACGGAAACATAATGAACAATCGAGTTATTCAGAATGTATGAGAGCAAGAGTCCACCTTGTTTGCAATATTGTTTGAGAGCCAGTCAAGACCCTCGTACAGTCCTTCACCAGAAGTGGCGCATGTGCTCTGGATATACCTGCATGGGATAGTTTACACAGTTAGTTTCAAGGAGGGGCGTAGGTGCGAGTGAGTTTGTGAGAAATAGAAGCTACATTCGGTTTTACCAGTGGCGTTGACGGAGGGAGTGAAGGCCAAGCTTATCAGTTATTTCAGCAGCATTCATGGCATTTGGAAGATCTTGCTTGTTTGCAAATACAAGAAGCACAGCCTCCCTCAATTCATCCTGCCCAATACAATAATAAATGGTTAACAATCAAAATAAAAAAGATATGACTATATAGCAATAATAGTACACAAGTTTTCAATGTGCAATATTTCACCCCTCTCTTTATCATCAGCATAACAAGTTCCAAAGCTTATGCATACCTCATTCAACATTCTATGAAGCTCATCTCTGGCTTCCACCACACGGTCACGATCGTTGCTGTCAACCACAAAGATAAGTCCTTGTGTGTTTTGGAAGTAATGCCTCCACAAAGGTCGGATCTGGAAAGACAATACAAAGAATCGCAGATTCAACAAAGCGAAAAGCTGGCAGCTATAAAGACATTTTAACTGATAATGAGAAATGACGTTGACTATAGAATTAGTACAGTATGGGACTTGTAAGCCACATAATGGCATCATCGAAACAATCCTGATGAACAAGCTTTAGTTGGCCATTATTCTGAAAGAGAACAGTCACGGAGGACATGTACGTCCCAAAATTGATAAACAGAACAAAGGAAAAGCCATCCTCAAAAGAATAAGCGTGTCCTGAGCCTGACCCCATTGTTGTTTAAATGATGAGCTTATAGGATGGTAGGCAAATGGTGTGAGTTGAGTGGATTCATTGACTAGTCGATTGGAAAGAAAGGTTAGGATTAGGAGCTCTAACTAATATACATTAAACATTTGACCTCGATCCATGAAAACGGAGATCATAAACTTCATGTTGGACGCGGCACAAACTTGCTGAGTTGCTATAATTTTCCACAATCTAATTTTTGATCAGGCAAACTCAACTACGTAAATCAGATGCAGGAATGAACATTTACCAGTACCAAATTGCATAACCGAAAGAAGTAACAATTTCGAAAATAAGGAAGTTGAAAAAAGCGTCCATACCTTGTCCTGACCCCCGACATCCCACACAGTAAAGCTGATGTTCTTGTATTCCACAGTCTCCACATTGAATCCTAACCCGATAATTCACCATAAATCAGAGCAATTAATAACTAATACAATGTTAAAACGATGAGTAAAACCGAAATCGAGTGATGAATCCAGATCAAGGAGCAAATGGGTTATGCAAGTGATTGACATACCAATGGTGGGAATGGTGGTGACGATCTCGCCGAGCTTGAGCTTGTAGAGGATGGTGGTCTTACCAGCCGCATCGAGACCCACCATCAGAATACGCATCTCCTTCTTCGCAAACAGACGGCTGAACAGCTTCGTGAATGAAAGCCCCATTTTCGAACCTTCAAAATTTGATCAAAAATCCAACCCAAAATTTCAAATATTTATATATCAATCAGCATTCACATTCACAATGAGGGTCTAAATCTTATAAATTTCATCACAAATTCGGGCAAAAATCGAGATCGGAAAACGAAAAAGTCGGAAAATTCGAGATCGGATCAAATCGCGAAAATTCAAGCAAATGGGCACAAAATAAACGAAAAATAAAAAAGCAATTGCCGGTGTAGATCTGAGAAGAAGAAGAACAAGGAAGGGTAAAGTTGGAGTTACCTGAGGAAGATGGAGAAATTGATGAGAGAGAGAGAGAGAGAGCAGATCTGCTCTCTAAGAAGATGGGGAGGAGCTGTCCTTCGCAGCGACACGCACGCTATATTTCACGTTATATGTGGAAGGAAGGATCTATCTCTGCATTTATAGATGGGCCGGAAGGAAGGGCAGCGACCGCACCAAATTTTTATTTATATTTTTTTAACGTTTTAATTTTTGAAAATTTGATTAGAAGAAGGAATGCAATTTTCAAAGCAGTTGGTAGTTGTCGTTTGATTTGTTGTTAGCCTCCAAACAACGCTAGGCTTTATGATCTCCATGATTTATCAACGGGGAGGGAAGAAGGGTATCAATTATTATTATTAAATAGGGATGGATATATTTCGGTTTGAATTGATCGCATTTAATTTATTGTTGAAAGCGAATCAATTACAATAGAACTGTATGGTTCAATTTATTTTGAATGGTCTAATTTGATTTGGTTCGGTTATTTGGTTTAATTTTTCTTTTGCATTTTTTCAACTTTGTTAGTCCAACTACGACAATAAAATTTTGTAACTTTTTACATGTTTTTTTTTTGTGTAGCACATTGAAAACTTTGGTAGTCCACCAGCTGGTCCCTTTCACACCTCATTGAACATTGCAAGACTCATCTTCTCATTTTTGTGTATTTGTATAACATACATCACAGCTAATAATTTGAAGGATTCTTTCTTATTCCTCTCATCATCTCTCGCTCAATTCGTCTCCATATATGTGCATTGAGTGGCTAAGCTAAACCCCTTTAGCAGCTCAACCGCAATCTACCTTCCGACATTGTTGTTGATCGTCAGCAATTCCGGTTAGCCGAGCTGAAGCTTCTGATTCTTCATCTGCTGGTATTCTTGAGCAGATTCTTACCTTACTGTCCGGAGTTTATGAGCGGTTTGATTGGACTGATGAGCCAGATTGCACGGCTAAGTAAGCGTGTTGATTTTATAGTTATCAGGCTTGAGATATTCAGAAGAACGTTGGCATTCGGCCTCCTCTGGTCGTAGATTTGTGTTTGTTAACTTCCTTGCAGAAACCAATTTGCATAATAAATTGGCTCACAAGTAAAAGAAGCTACATAGACTGTATATCATACTTCTTCCAAAGATAAGAGAAGTTTCCGATATGCCTCTGAAAAAAAGATAGAAGCTACCTGACTAGTATTACACCTTATTTTACTCTACCATCACCGCATAGACTCCGAAAATAAAAGACAAAGCACTAATCTTCTAAGATCTAATGGTCAAGGGGGGAATATTGGATGGGGGGTCGATTAGAGTGGTACTCATGAAGTTCTGTCAAATGTCACTTAGTTGAGAACCGAAATGGGCCATGCAGCTCAAGCAGAGGAAGAGGACACATCAGACCGCCCTCCTGTCATCTTCTCCGCCTTCTCTCCACGCTCCCCTGAAAATGACATATACAAGACAAAAACTTTAGGCAAATTCTAGAGAGCAATCATCAATCCAAAGAGACACAAACAACTGGATAGATCATCTTAAACTTGAATCATTTGGCGAGTAAAATGTTACCAGTGCGAACTCGTATGACATCTGAAACTGGCACCACTGCAAAAGATACAAAAACTCATTAGAAAGTTTGATGAAACCTCACTGGAGAGGCCAGAAAATGATATGTTCCTTGAGTTTTAAGTTTTACATGTAACTAGCATAGTGATTGCAGAAAACGGAGTATAAAGATTTCTGGCAAATGATCAGTGTTGTCAAAAAATAGCTACTTGTCCTACCGACCTGACTTTAAAGTACTTCACTAAAACTTTTAGACGACTGTAGTATCTCACATCGCAAACCAGATATATACTGTAAACTAACAAATCTGATCCTCCCTAATTCTGGAGGGTTATGTGGATCTCTTAGAACATCTATAGGTGACAAAGTGGAAAGGTGCAAAGCCATCAACAATTCTGTATACCTTAAAAATTGTCTGAAAATAAGCTAACTTATATAGGTGTTATAGTTTGAATTTAGTTTACATAATGTTCAATGCAATTTAATAATTATATATGTTAAAGAAATCGATATTAACATGTTAAAGTAACAATTATTCATTCAAATTTTATTTTAACCTGATTACGTGCTTACTGTAGACTATATCTTTGTAGTTTCAAAATTAACAAGTTTAGAGACTTACCAAAAATCTTGCCATCGCCGATTTCTCCGGTCCTGGCTGCCTCAATTATTGTGTCAACCACAGCTTCAACCTAAGAAGTGATCAGAGCAGCATTCAATCGGTGATTTTCAAACCCTCATCCCTGAGCATCAATATCACAAACAGAACATATTATAGAACTAAAATTATCACTCACACTCTTCATACCTGGTCTTTGCTCACTACAATCTCCATTTTAATCTTAGCGACAAAATTGTCTTCAGAAAATTCAGAGCCTAACAAAGTAATAAAAAAAAAGAAGAAATTATGAAATGACAATAGAAGAAAAGAGTAGGATGATAAATAAGTTACAGTAGATATAGTGGCTGGGGAGTGTTCCAAAAAATCTGCTAGATTTAATTAAAACGAAGAGAAAATATCGATGCCAAAGCAAGAACATACCACCCTGCCTCTCTGTTGAACCACCTTGAGCACCAAAGCCTCGAACATCAGATACAGTAACACCACGAATTCCAATTTTCAGCAGAGCCTTCGGTTTCCACAAAGGATGGAAACAAAAAGATTAGTGCTTATGCTTTTATCTCAAGGAGCTCTAGAAAAATGACACAGGAAAACATTGAAGACACCAGAACCCAAAGTAGTACTTATGCTATTATCTCAAGGAGCTAACAACAATACTGTACATTAGTAAAAATGTGAAAACGTGCAACCAAAAAGAAAGGATAAAATCAGGTACAATTCTTACCAAATATAGACTATAACCCGATTTTCTTACAATAAATTCATTAAATACGAACCACAGGAAACATCTCAATTCTTCAATTTCTAGTGATCGCTTTGCTTCTACATTTCTTTTAGGAAGCAAACAACGTTACTTAGTGCACCACGGACAACTCCACTGGCATGGCATCCCAGGCCCCAATGGATGCCTCATGGATGTAATGAATTGAAAGGAGAGAAGTGGCAAAAAATTTCGAGAATAGCATGAGTATTATTACAAGACCAATGCTATCTTGCCTTGACTATGGTCAAGGCAATGCATACAGAGAGGAGTCAGAAACTTGCCCAGCAAGTTACTGATAAGTACTAAGTGAGGGCAGTTATCATTAAATTCCAGAACTGAATAGTGTAGTAGTACAATTAACAACTGCCAATTGATCTTTTGAAATGTCACTCTACTAGAATTTCATTAACCTTCAAGTTTTATCAGGTTTGAGCTCCAATCTAAATCCGTTATGACTGTGTTCGATATATGCAAATGGATTTGAGTGTGTAGACGGGATGGTGCTTCGATAACTACACAGACTTAGAAACACAGAGCTATTCTTCCTATTATCTAGTAAACAACATTTGAAACATCATTTTATTGCTTTCCTGATTTTGTTATACTAATGCAACGCCAATCAGATATGCAGTAAGCTGTGTTTAAGGTTCAACAGTTCTTACCGAAGAAACCTGCGAAACTCGCCAGGGCCTAGCTCGTCCCATAATCATAACAGAGATTAAGAAATAGTTAGATATAATCAAAACCCATAACCTCATATATTCCACACACAAAAATAATAGGAAAAAACACAGCAGACATGCAGAGCTATAAACAATCAACCTAAACAAAATTAACAACCAACAACGCAGACAAGAACAGAAGGGTGAATTATTTCCGCACCTCAGAATCGCTTCGACTTTGTAAAATTTGGAGTCTGGGACATAACCTACGAGCAACCGACAACAATACAGAGTCAGAAGCCATGCCAACATTTAAAATTTAAAATCTGAGATACCAAAACCATAATTTGAATGAAATCTGGATGAACATTCAAACCCATGACCTATTTTTCCAGAAAAATGGGAGAAAGACGAACCAGAAGAACTCTGTGCTCGTACGACGGGAAAAATGGATGCATTTCTTGCGTGCTTTAGAGCGACATTGGGCTGACGGAACCGAAATTCTGCGAGCTTGGTGCGGATCGAGCTCGAACCCAGAAGCGGAAGCTCGTTGAGGTGGCAATGGAAGGGGCTAAGCAGGCCTGCATTCCCAATTGTAGCCATGTTTGTCAACTGTTATGTAAAAAGCAGACCAAAAGCTTCAGCGACGGTGAACCCAGTTTGGGTACCAAGTCTACCCACGACCGAGGCAGTGAATGGGCGTTTGTTGCGTCGGACTATCTCGGATTGGATTAGCTTCAAGATTAAGCTGGACTGGCTTAAATTAGACTAAACTGGACTAACTCAGTGAAGCGTTTGGTGCAGTATTGAACTAAGAAGCTGGATAATAATAATTATAATATTATATTATTTAATATATAAATTATTAATGTTTTATTATGATCTTATCTTTTCCTACAATTTCCATCCCACTCTTTTTCTCTTCTCTCATTTTCCCACCCTCTCCCTCTTTTTTTCCTCTTAGACCTCTCAATTCATGTCTCTTTCTCATTCCTGGTCAAACTCCTTATTGATTTCAATCTCTATTTCTCTGTCCTCCCTCCCTCTCTAGCTATGCGTTGTTCGAACGGAACCTCACGGCTTCAATTTTCCTGACGAGTTGCAGGTTTCCCAATGTGTTTTTCGGCCAACCCTCGTTAAATCGGATGAAGTTAACACCGCCAGAAAATCCATCACCATCCCTGTACCGAGATCTTAGCTTTGAATGCTCGAATCTGTCATGGATTTGAAGAAGCCCAAATAGGTCGAGACTTCTAGGCCATTTTCCGGCACATTCGACCACATTTTAGCCTCGATTCAGGTCAAATCGTAATCTTGTCACTCCCAGCTTCAATTTGGTATATTTTAAATGAAAGTTGGTTGTAAAATGGATCTGAAAGAGAGTCAGAAAGTTAATTATTGATCTAGGTGACTGGAGATGACGATGAGTCTATCAGGAGTGGTCATTGAGCATGACGAGGACGAGAAAGAGAGGATAGTCTTAGCTAGTCTCATGGTTATTGGGGGGTCTCGCTAAGACCCCTTAGTGAAGGGTTTTGTCCATGCTAGTCCCCTTTAGTCTCATTAATGTTAGTCCCAGCATGGAACAAACACAGTATTAAACTAATAACTAGTCCAGTCCAGTCCAGTCCAACTTAGTGAGGGTAAACAAACGCCTCTTAAAGCTTTAAAAACAACGCGTGAAAGATTCTTCATGCAATTGCAGCTTGGGCTTGGACTCTTGGAGTTGGAATATCATAAGGGCTCACTGTCGCCTCAAATGCCCATCAAAGCCCAACTGGATCCAGTAGTATTGGAATATATGTGCCGAACGGTTGGTGGAAGACTTTCAATCTCCAGAGCAATGGCTGCAGGTGGAGGTGAAGGGATGGAAGAGTATGTGTACAGAATCAGCACTGCTGCGGAGTGGGGAGAGTTGCAGAGCTCTGGCTCTGTTTTTGGTGGAGAGCTGGACAAGAAATCCGGGTTCATTCATCTTAGCAACCTCAATCAGGTCACTGTCTCTCTGTCTCTTCACACACACACACACACACACACACACACACACACATATATATATATATATATCAGACCCAGTTGCCAGTTTGATTATATTTACCCTTTGCATCGATTAAACCTTAGACATAGTCCAACTGAAAGAAATTCTGGGTGGCAAATGGGTTGCCCTGGTGGATAGAGCTCAACCCAGTGCGTTCCGGGTTCAAACTCTCCACCTCCCTTTTAGTCTAAGTTAGATTAGAATTATCGCTTGTAGTAAAAGTAAAACAAAATTATGGGTGATGAATTGCGTTTAATTTATTTATTGATGCCATAAAATGGTTCAATTTTTTCAGGTAAAGTCGACATTGCAGAATTTTTTCGTGAATACCAAAGTGGATCTTTACTTGCTTCAAATTGACACCAATAAGGTACATAGATATGAACATCCATTTTGGTTATACTCTAACTTCGATTTCTATGGTTCGTTTGGATGAGGGACTTTAAAGTTCCACGCAACTTACGTTAAATTTGGTAGGCATGCACTACAAAAGTTGGATTGGGGGACTTCCAAATAACACGTTGAAAGTCGTTCGTCTAGTGTCTTTGTAGTTTATTTGTGGTGTTTTGGTAGTAGCTTTGTAGTGCTTGAGTAGTTCATTGGTAGTCTTCTTGTAGTACCTTTTTAATAATCGTGTCTAAAGTTCCATATAACTTTAAAATCCCTCGTCCGAATGCACTACTGAAATCAAAATAAGCTATAGCTATTCCTATATACGGAGACCTAATATTGCAACTGCACCTGCCCCATGGTTCTGCCTATTTTTGGAATGATAAGTTAAAAATGGATACCACTATTCTGCGGATTAAAAGAAAGGAAGCTTAGGAAGGTAATATGCACTACTGAATGAAGGGAATCGAAAGAAGCATGGATTTCAGATACTAACTTCGTCAGAGTTGCTTGGAGGCGTTGTTCATTAGAACAGACTTCTTATACTATGTTTGGTTTACGTAGAGGAACAAGACATGGTAAAATTACCCTGAAACATTTTGAAACAAATATCATTAGGGCCAGAAGGTAGCTGATGATGAATCTATAAGATATTTCGTCCTGCACTTACGCCTTGGAATGATCTCTCAGTCTCAGTCTTGCTCATGAGCTTCTTGGACTAGCTGGGTGGGATTCCTGGCGACTTTTGTTAACCAAATAGATGGCAGTACTTGAATCTACCTTCCGAAAATCCATGTTTTGCTAGCTCAGGGCACATGTAACTTCCCTAAAGTATACAAAGACTTAATGAATAGAAAGTTCGAAACCTAGACTGCATGAGAAACCCCTCAATCTTTCCCCATCCTACGGTCCTACTGTTCTGTGACCTCCACCACCTGCATTTTCTTGGTTTCCTATTGAAAAGCCATGGGTTTTGAGCCTTTCTTTCCATTTGTTTATATAAGTACCAACATGAAGATCACACTCAAATTTCGTTGGCATTGTTTTCTTTTTTGTCTTCATACCTTGTAGTCCTAGTATTTAGATGAATTTTCTCTGTTTGTGTTGTTTTAGCTAGGTGAAGGGTTAGTATATGAAGTTGTTGATGGTTCCAATAGCTTCCCTCATTTCTATGGTCCATCTCGAAGTTTCATACCTCTTCCCCTTGATGCTGTTACAAAAGCAGAGAAGCTGCATCTGTCGGGTGGCCAATTCAGTTGCAGTATGCTGGAACGAGTCGCTTAAGCTTTGGTTTGGTATTCTTTCATCTCAGCTTTACGTTGTGTGGAATAGGAGATATTAACAGCTCCCAACTCTCAACTGCTGCAGTTGTTATGTCCTTAAAGTATTTTGTGTTCTTTATGAAAGATATAGCATTTTCGATTTTCTTCTCTTTGTGCAATTTTCTTCAGATTTATATAATTTTGCAAGATTTTGTTTGATTTTCTGCGAGTTGTTCATACAAGCTTTTATTGTATTTTCTTCTACTTCGTGGTTTTTGAATGTGCTTGTCGTTTTGTGTACTTCAGGTGCATAAACAATTTTGTGTTTATTGAGTAGGTTCAATATTTACAGTTTGTCAAAATAGAACTAGATTATTGTTGAAAATTTTACTTTTGCAGAACTAATTTACCATTTAACCCACCTGGCATTAAATTTTTTGAATTATTCTTACACGCATTTGATCTACTTAATTCAACTATTATGTCACTCGACACTGTTACTTTCATTAACAAGTCACACAAGTTTTTGTCATCGACTACACTTTCAATAGTTATTAGTTAAGGATCAATAATTATGATATCTAATCCATCTTATTTGTCATCACACAACTTTTTACGGTATGCACTGATAAGAATACACTATTATCTTGAAGATCACCTTTTTTTTATTTTTTATTTTTATTTACTTCGTCAAACTAAATTACTTTCATTAAATATAAAGACAAGTACAAGAAAAAGAATGGGCAGCTGACAACCTAAGTACAAGCTCAACAACAAAATGGAAAATACAGTAGAAATGCCCAAAAGTGACCAGCTGAACAAAAAAATAAAAAACACCTAGACCGGAATGGAAACTAGCATTTGGTATGCCTCCATCGTAAGGTTGTTGCCACCACTACCAAGAGAACGAACCAACAGAACAACTGAATCATCTTCTGTTTCACATCCAAAACAGAGAAAGAAAAAGTCTTCTACTTTAGCCAATGAACATAAAATTTAATTTTTTTATTGCAAAATATAAAAAAATTGCCCCCTGTTGTTATTATTTTAAGGGAGGCGTACTCAATTTTTTCTTTCTTTATAACTTCATATATTGTAGGAAAAAAGAAACAGAAAGTCAACGAGTGATTGCGCTGGCAATTCCTCCTTGTATTTTGTCAGGTTTATGAGTATTCCTTGGCTGTAACGGAAGAACACTCTACGCATTGTGGACCGCAATTTATTTGATTAAATTAATATTCTTGCTTCAATTGTACGTGAAAGGTTCTGGGTATCATTCTAATGAAAAACAAATTTAAATCAAATTATTATGGCTAACTTCTTATGAGACATAACTCATTCTCTAACCTTTTAATATAGATAATATCATATGAATATGATATTATTATATTCTTTACTTGTAAAGAAATCTTATCTTCAACTATCATGAGTTTAATATAAATTTACTATAATTCACATATTGCATGACTCGAGCTAAATCTCTTACCTCTTATTGTAAATATATCATTTGTCAAAAACAATCTTCTTAATATATCATTTGCAAATAACACTTTACAACAACAGCGAAAAATAAATAATGTCTATATACTCTGGTGTGGGTGTGATCTCACCGATTCTCCTCTCCTAACAACTAACTATTTAATCCACCAATGTTATCGCTTTATTAAAAAACTTAATATTGAAATCATACCAATCTTCCAAAAATTGCATTGTGTTAATAAATACAAGAAATTTGTAGCTGAAGAATGTATAATAGCATATCTATCTACTTAGGTCTTGCGTTTAATTCCTTCTTCTAGTATTGCAATTTGCTTGCATAAAAATACCAAAATCCCAACAAAAAAAACATAAAGAAGGATAGACTACATCTTCATCCCCCAGCTGAAATGCACATGCCTTTCCGAGACGAAAGATATGGAAAAGACTTTCCGTCGATTGAGGCTGAAGCACACCCTAAGACCTTCCCCAATCACCATCCGAAAAAACTCTTCGGGAGACAGTTTGATGGCAAGCCCCGAAACCAGTCTACCTACCTGCTTGAAGATCCCGCAAGAACATAGTGAATAAAATAGATTTCATTTTTTGCGAATAACGTATCTTTAATGTATCGAAATTTTTCATATTCTTAATCTTTATTGAAACAGCATCCCTTCAGAAAATAATTTGAATCGAAGATCGTTAGTTGGTATTCGCACTACTATTTATTAGTTTCATATAATTATATTTAGATTATAAAATGACAATGTGATGGTAATGAATATGTTACTTGATACTCACACCGTTAATCAAATATCGTTCTTGTCTTTGGAGCATTCATCATGAACATATTCCTTGATACTCTTACCGTGAATTTATTCCGTATATTTAGATAACTAAACGATCTCATATTCATTTTATTATAAAATTGGCAAGTTGATGAGAGTTGAGTACGATGAATAGTGTTGAAAATATTATTAATATGCATGATTGTTTTGCAACGAAAAAAGAAGAATATTATTATTAGGACCTCCAAGCCCAACGACAATGTGGTGGCGGTGAGATGACATAAACAAAACAAGAGAAGTAGAGAAGTGCGGGAAATTAACTGTCTCTATGATTGTATACTCTTTTCCTACGTATTGACAGCGAGATTAACCTCCATTCTTCCCTTCTGACCCGAATTCTGTCTGCCCTCGTCAACTTTTTCTTTTATTTTTTTTATTTTTTGAACTTGAAACATAATAAATTGAAGAAAAATACCGCTATAACATGGCCTTTTCAAACCCTTTTATGAATCTTATATATTTAGACATCCCAAACCACTTCTGTCATCTCAAATTAGTTCTCTCTTCCAAAATACTGCCACTACTAACTCTGCTTTGCTAGCTTTTTCTAATTTCCCCATTTTGTCCACCCTCCTTACATTTCTCTCCACACCGCATTGATTGAATCTGGTAAAAAATCCCAGACCATGTAACTTTAGGTGGTTACCTTGATTGCTAGTTCTTCAAATTATGGCAATCTCTTGCACCCTGCTTGCTGCAAACTGTTAGCAATTTTTCAGTGACGGAGGCTATCTATATTTTTCTCAAAGAATTAAGTGGAACCAATCAGGCATCAGAGACAGAAGCATGGAAGAGACATTTGTGCCCTTGCAGGGAATCAAGAACGATCTCAGAGGAAGATTGAAGTGCTACAAGGAAGACTGGACTGGGGGCTTTAAAGCTGGATTCAGGTATATACTATATTTAAAACTTCTCTCCACTTATATGATACTCGGTGTACCTTGCCGCGTTCTCGCTACATAAAAAATTTCTCCGTCAACTCATGCAATATCGTACTTTTTTTCCCTTAATGTTGAATCAAATGCAAACTCATGTTGATATTGGGTTTTTCAGGATTTTGGCTCCTACCACCTACATATTTTTTGCTTCTGCAATCCCAGTCATTTCATTTGGTGAACAACTGGAGCGAAGCACTGGTATTTTTTGCAACTCATCAACTGCTCCAACTCCAAGTCTTGAATTTATTTATTTATTTTACTTCTTTCAATATTTAGGGTAATAATTTGATTAAATCACAATGAATTCGTCATAGTTAAATATTCTTATCATGCGTCGAATTTAAAACCTTTTGCTATAAGTGCAATATTAGATTTCTTCACAACATTAATGACTCCTTTTTAACCTGAAAGGCACAATGATACAATATTTATTGTTGTTCTCTAAAGGTTTCACTTTTCAAGATAGTTTACTTGAATCTTCAGCTAGCCTGTTCGATCACCATATTTTACTTGGATCATCAAATTTGGTTTTTCGGTTAGAAAACATTGTTGCTATCCTTGTATTGTTAATCCTGATTTAGACACTTTAACATCTCTTTGAAGATGCTCTAATTAAATTACTGTTTGCAGATGGAGTTTTGACAGCAGTGCAAACCTTAGTATCGACGGCAGTTTGTGGGATCATACACTCCATCGTCGGAGGTCAACCCTTGCTGATATTGGGTGTGGCCGAGCCTACTGTAATCATGTACACTTTCATGTTCAATTTTGCCAAAGAACGTGCAGACTTGGGTCCAAAGCTCTTTCTAGCATGGTCCGCATGGTAAGCCTTCATTCCTAATTGTTTTAAAGCTCTCGAGTTTGAATTCTCTTCTCATATGTGCTTTTGTTCGAGTTCCATGAATTTGCCTAATTAGTATTTCTTTGAAGCTGTTTGACTAACCCCAATTTGTGGGGAATATTGAAATTTTGTAGGGTATGTGTATGGACAGCTGGGTTACTGTTCTTATTTGCTATATTAGGTGCTTGTTCCATAATAAATAGGTTTACAAGAGTGGCTGGGGAGTTGTTTGGTCTGCTAATCGCTATGCTCTTCATGCAGCAAGCCATTAAAGTATGGTTTCCTCTTACCCACTTATCAATATTATTATTATTATTGTAAATATTATTATTATTTATTCTATACTCAATAATGTTTTGATCACATGATGAACCTTAGAATATTACAAATGTCAGTCCACAGTTTGGTTGACAAAAGAAATGGAGCATTTTTGGTAACTTGGTGCATGTTCACGTATATTTAATTATTTGTCATGTGTCTTTTAATTTAATTATAGTTAATTTTTATATTAAATATTTTTTTTTTTTTGAAATAACCAAGGTTAGGTAAAATAACACGTGTTAAATGGTTAGATGTATGATGAGCATACATCAAATTTTGGATGGTAAGCAAAATTACTCCCAAAAAAGAAATAGTAAATAAACAAATGCAGATCATTTTTTTGGTTCTACTTCTCCCCCATTTCAGCATGCATCCTTAACTCTTTCCACCGCCACTTCTTATTTTAATTTATGTATTTTGAGTCTAGTATTAAAAAAATTGTAAGGTTTATTTGATGTTTATTTTATTTTATTATATTTACTTTTATTTTCTCTCACTAGATATAGAGAGAAAATAGATGGAAGGATAGACGAATCAAGAATGTAGAGGGGAGTGGTGGAAGAGAGGAGGAGAAATTCACATGAAATTATACAAAATGAACCCTAGAAATGATAATAAGAAAACATACTTGCACAGGAATTGTCTGGGGTTTGGGCATTCTTCTTCAACCCACTACGTTCCAAATTCTAACTCTTTCATCTTTCTTTAGTTTAGATCATAATAGAATATTGTTTGTCATCAAGAAAATAACACCTGCTTAAAGTTCTTTCTATTTTTGGATTTTTGTTTTCATGT